GAACTTTTCATTTGAAAGGCTGGATATTCCTGGCCCCCATACAACCACATGGAGTTCTGTCTGCCGGGGTCTGAACTGTACGGCCCAAGGGAGGGCACACGGCTGTGTATTTACATGGCCCTCTCCTCCAGCCCCCCCCCGAGGCCAGCTCAGCACCATGCCTTGCTCAAGCATGTGTCCTTGCCAAGTGTTTGATGGAAGTGGCTTTAAAGAAAGAACAATCTTTAAGGCGGCTTGTCAATTCAGGACGAGTTTTCACAAGATGTCAGGTGTGTCATCCACATAGCAATTGTCAGGATAACACTGGTGATGTATTCTCTCCTCGGTGTGTTTGTTACCCCTTTCAATGTGACCTGATCAGACAGGAGTTGCGCTGCATACACCTAGTGGTAAGTATTAGAATAGGTGATGAGCTCATGAAAACTCTTATTTTATATTTACTGGATCACTTCTAGAACTTCACATATCTGGTCATGTCCCCAGCGCCTTTTCCAGACTCGGTTTAGCTGCCCGTATCCACACACGGGAAAGCCATCGGTAACAACAGAGCATTCCCATGAGGATGCATTAGAATGCATCTGTTTTATGTGGGAAATGAAGAGCGCAAATGTATTTAGTACCTATTTTGGGCATTAAGCATTGAGTATTCTTGAAGTCCAGAAGCTGTTTTTACTGTTGTTGCCCTTCGTCCTCCATTGCTAAAGCAAATGCTAGTACAGTCCAGCAGTTTCACACTACGGACCTCTTCCTATCCATGTGCTTTCATTTCTCTTTTAATTCTGCAGAAATTTTGGGTACGTATGGATCCATTTACCTCAGCCATAGAACAAAATATCTAAAGTCAAACCAATCAGCTTGTATGAGGCATAGCTTCTGAGGGGGTGTGGGGGAAAGATAATTTCTTTTGGAAAATTGGCCCTTTTTGATATTTTTTATTTTGTAAATAACAAGTACAAACACTTGTCCACTTCAAACAGGCAGAGCTTCTCTGGTGCACTCAGGCAGAAGCAACAGCTGAGATGTTAAACTGATACCTCGTTTTTCCTCTAAAGAACTGTTGAAACAAAAGGATTATTATCCACCCATTTCTGTTTTTAAAAAAGTCACCTGAAGGCCAGTGAGTTCTTGCTGATTTTCATATTTTAAAACTGCTATCAGAATAATCTTGTTATTCTGAGAGGAATTCATTGGTAAAGTAACATTTCCAAGCATTTGACAGGCATCTAATGAGATCCTAATCACCTTACATGTTGAAACAGAAACCAGAGGATTCTGTCTGACTAGTTACTACCTGTGATGGTCTCAGTTATTCAAATAACTGCAGTAAGAAAAATAATAATCTGAATTTCAAAAAAAAATCTGAATATTTGCAACAACCACTATTCTTAATGCATAGGGAAAATAGCAAGAGGTTGGAAAAAAACCCCATGATTTTTGTGAGACAATGATGAGTCTAAAGTTCGTCTCAGAGACAAAGCTACCATAGATTTTGTTGGTGTGTTTCCTAGTTCTGAAAATAAAGAATTTTCTTACTTCAAAAAGAAACCAGAAGTGGGACATAGTTTTTGTAGAAAATTACTCTCCACCACCCTGGGCTTTTTTTATGGCATGTCTTTATCTCCCTGTATCTCTTACTTCCCGCTTAACTCCTGATGCTTTCCTTCTTGAGAGATAGAAGCCCAGTTCCTCAATGTTTTTTCCAGACCACGTGTCACACATGTAGGGAGGAAATACCAGATTCATGACAACTTCTGGTCTGTGCCTAGCAGGTTACTGCAGCCCTGAGCACCTGACGTGCCCTTGAGGACTTCAGGCTCTGAGGGTATGTTGCTTCAACCATTTGCAATGACTTTTAGAATTTGGAGTGCAAGTACAAGGGGAACTGTGCTGTCCTCATTTGCATTCTCTCCTCTCACTTTTGGACGTAATTCCTCCCAAACTCTGGAATTTCATTTGTAAGACGTACCAGCTTCCTGGGCTTGTGTGAGCTGTCAATGTGATATCTCTAGCAAAAGAACAAATACCTTAAAGCTACTGCCAGGCTGGGTTTTGACTGCCTGTAGTCATCAGCATAGCCTTATCATTGGGAAGAATGTTATGAGTTGACTCATTATGCAACTATCTCCATAAAAGGAGGAAGTATTCTTCTTCTTGGGAGGAAATGAGGGTGAGTAATACCTGGTGCTCAACCGAATTACACAAGCTGGTGCGGAACAAAGTTACGTCACAAAGGAAGAAATGCCTATTAGTGCAGTATATTACAGCATCGTGCTCACCTATACATGCACCTTTTTACACTGTTGAATTTTCACAGTGCATAGTTTTCAGAATGATCTCAGCATTCCAATCAGCAATCAGATGGTTACCACCTTGCAGCATAACATGGAAGTCCAGGGTACCACTTAGGCTTTGTTTTCCTTCCCCTGACAGTGTTAGAGATTCATTCACCAGGAATTGGTGAATTAACAGTGTTTGTCATTACTGAACACTACCCATCAGGAAATGGGCTTTACAAAATGACTTAAGGTTAATAATGGCGGGAGGTACAGATTTGTGGGAAGTTGTAGTATGAAGGACAACAGGGTTTTAAAACACTCACCATGCTCCATGGAACGGACGCCTTAATTTTACGTGTAGATGAGATTAGAAACAAGACTGCATACTTTAGTGTGTGTGAAAGGGAGGCATGACATGAGCAAGGTTTTATAGTCTCTTTCTATCTCCTTTTTTCTTCAAGAGCATTTAAAGGGAAAATTACCAGGGCATCCTGAAGCACTGAGCTGTGAACAGCACTCACTGTGCTGCTGTTTCAGCTCTCCCAAAAACAAGGCTCTGCAGTACCCATCCATCAGGGCTATAAAAGATTCATTCACTGTCCTGCTTGGTTTTCATCTATTTTAAACATTGAGAGACCTACTTACGTGCCCTGTAAAACTTTCACAAATAATGATGTTTGGAAATCTTTCTAGTGAAGTACATGCCTTTTCCCCTCAGGTTGGCTACTCTTCTGCTATAGATCACCTTGAGATGCATTTCACTGTCATGAAAACCTGTTGGGAGGGTTGAATTTGTAGTCATTTTCATGCTTATTTATTATTCCTTACTTCGTTATATTTACTCCTCGCTATTTTTATTTTGCTAAGATCCTGCCGTTCTCTTTTCCCCTTCATTTCCAAGGTCCAAGTCTATAGCTAGGGACATTCCGATGATGGGTAAAGGTTGCCATGGTCAGCAAAAATAATGAGCATTGCTTTGTGATGAGAAAAAGTCAGTAAATTAATTTCCTGCAGTTCAGCTTTGCCAGAAATAGCATTTTGGTTTATGGTGGTGTAGCAGAACTGGAAGGCTTCACATCTGCCAGGTGTGTCCAAACCCGTGACCCCCTTCTGCTGTCTCGGGCTGGGCAAAGAGCCGGTGTCGTCCTCTGCAAGCTATTCAGCTTTCTGTTTCTGTAATTGAAACATTTAAACCCTTCCTGTTTGCAAATAGATTGATCCCTAAAATCGAGTATATTTTAATCAGAAACTTGTATTGAAAATGGTCCTTTATCGGCAGGTTATAAAGGTATCAGACAGCACTGCACTATCATTACGTGTAAGACAGACACATTGGGGTACTTACCCATTTCGGGACTGCGGGCTTACAGCTTCAAAATCCTCTCTCTGTTCCTGATGTGCGGAGATCACACTTGAAGGGTAATCTTGAGTATCCTCCCTGAGCCCTTCTGCCTTCCAGTAACCTCCTTCCCCGTGCGGTAGAGGAGTCCTCTGCGGGTATGCAGAGGTCTCGTGAACCGGTGGCTTTGAGCGGTGCACCGAACCGTCATGATACCCGTGATGGTCGGGGTGTCCGACCAGCTTTGCCAACCCTATTGTGTTACAGAGGAGCAAAAGCTGCACTAGCATCGCGGGCTTTTTCCCTCCCGGTTGCACCTGTCTCTTGTTCTCTTCTTGCAAGCTCAGCCTGGATTAACGCAGGCATGCCCCGGCAATATTCTTTATCTGGAAAGTTGGAAGGAGGAAGGAGAAAAAAAAAAAAATATTGTAACAAAGAGCGGAAAAAGCTTTCGACCCTCCCAGCTACTGTGGAAATGTCCGTGGCTGTGGAACAATGTGAGTCTGGTTCCTGTGTGGGGCTCAAACGTCTCTGACAGAGGGGAAAAAAAGGTGGTAGGAATATAGCTTATTCAAGGAACTTCTGAGCTTGGCTGCCTTCTAAACTTATCTGTGAACAGGAACTTGGCTTTTATCAACTGCCTTCTCCCTCAGGCACAGGAAAAGGATGTTAGCTTAAGGAAAGGAAGAGAAAAGAAAGGAAAGAAAATACTGAGTGGTGTAACAGACCCTCATTACGCTGCCAGAAAATGTCACAGACCTGCTTGCTCCGGTGTCTGCACATTTTTCATTTTTGAGGCTGAAATGCCCTGGCTTTAGCAACAGAATGTCCATGGTGTGTCTGACAAATTAGGGTCATTAAGGTATTCAGAGTAAATGCACAGGGAAAAGGGGCTTACAAACATCCATTTTTGTGTGACCTTTCCAGAGTAACTCTGAATCATATGCTGTGCCCATGATTTTCATGAGGTAGGCTTTCAGAGGGCTTCAGATTATTGAGCGTTTTTAAGAATTTCTGTTTAGGTTCTCATCTTTGGACCTGACACCTAATCTTTTTGTCCATTTTTAATTAGCGTTACAAAAAAAACCCACTTACCAAGAGCTGCTGTAAACAGCTCTCTCTGTTACCTCACCCCAAGCCCTTAAGAACAGAAAGGTTGGATGTAGGTTTATTACTGGTCTTGCTTTACCTGATGGTGCTGCTTTCCGTTTTGTTGCTATTGTAAACTGTTTTTCTTTTCTCACTCTCTTGCAGGGTGATGCACTCTGGCATACTTAAGAATAAATGGAGGAGAATGATGCTCCACTGATAAAGCAGGACTGCTAGATCATGTCTCTGAACGATGAGATGCGCAGCCCAAGTTCAGTACATCCTGCAGAGCATTAAACGTAAAGCTTTCCCTGAGACAGCCCAATGCCAGCTGAAAAATAGAGGATAAAATCTCTCTAGGATGTTGGAAGGCCTTGTTAGTAAAGGCTGTGAATTTGCATCTCGTTATCAGTGGTGGGATCCATGCCCTGCTCCTTCCGACTGCCCCTCTTTTGTGCTTAGTGGAAGAACCTACAGAAAATGCAGAAATGCCCATACTGACCTGTGACAGACAGCGCTCTCTAAGAGCAGGAGAGAGAGAGATTTTGTTAATTTTAAGGGCGAAACCTGTTCTGGCTGTTGAAGTTACTTCTCCAGGGAGATGAAATCACAAGTTCTGGACTGAAGACCGAAAGAAATTAGCAACTTCCCTGTGTTCCTTCCTGCTGCTTTTATTTCAGAATTGTGTGCATCCTGCTAGAATACTTGTTAAGGTGTGAATATTTTATGTGCCATGTTTCACATAAAACGTGCCTTTCTCACCAGTAACTGGATGTGACCTAAGCACTAGGTTTGTTTGCTTAATAAGGCCCATTATCCAAAAGGAGTTGAAACAAACACGAGGCAAAACAAACAACAGGCTCATAACCTGAGCTGCTGTGTGATCGTGGCTTGCAGAAAAGTGATTTTGTGCTGCTGATCCTGAAGTTGTCCCACTTGTGACCTACTTCCAAACCCTTTGGAGCTGTCTTTCGATGTATACCTTTCCACTTAGTCTTAGCTCATCCATTAAACCTTTATTCTTCACGGCTGTGATACCTCCCAGGTGGTGGGGCACGTCTCTGGTGTCCTCCTGGCTGGCAGCTTCTGCTGCTCCTTCAGGTGCAGGGACCCATCCTCTGTGCCTTTGTAACGGTGCTGCCAAGGAGTGCAGCAGTCGGGAGGCTCAGATTGCTCAGCCGTTGGCACGTTAATCATTTAGTGTGACTTCTTGGCAGCAGTTACGAAAGATGTTGAAATACTGAGCTTGCTGGCAACTGACATCTCTTTCCTTGGGGTGGGCATAGCGTAGGATGCTGCCATGAACATGTGGAAGGCATGAATCCTGGATACTAGTTAAGGTTTCTGTCGAACAGCTGTTCTGATTTGGGGTGTCTGAATAACATACTCAGGTTATACTGTTGGTTCGTAACGCTAGATTTATTGGCAGACTAAAACCTGTAGAGGAACAGGTATAAGGAGTGTATCTATTTTAGGAACAAGATACACCGCAACTTTGTCTCTCTTTTTTTTTTTTTGTGTGTGTGTGTGCCTCAGCATGGAACCAAGGAAAACAGACAAAACAAGGTCATTTGCTGTAACAATTTGCTCATTGTTTTCTGAGGTCAGTCTCTTCTAGGAGATGAGAAAGGCAACCTATGCCCTTATTCATGAAAATACTTTTCCCCCAAGTATTTCTGAGAAATATTTCTTCAAACTAGTCTTCATACTTCAAGCTGGTCTTGAAAGAGTTGATACTGCCAGTTACACCCAGATCAGCAGGATGCCCTGGGATCTTGCAGATAACGATGAGGACTACTCTTGCCTTGTCTGGTAATTATAACCATTTCTATTAAACACAGCTCTTAACCCCTTCCATCGTTGCCTGCCATGAGAATTGCAAGTGTCCCATTTGCAATTCCATAATCAAGCTGTCACATGCCAGCACCATCTTCTGCACTATCTATGTAAGATGCAAAATCTCTTCGTGGCCCCTTTCTGCTTGTTTGAGTCAGAGCCCTGCGGCTACAGTCCAGCTGTAGGGGGTGGGTGGCCACACGGTAAACATCACCCAACAATAGGCTTGATAAATGGCTTGTACACACTTGGAAAGCAAACACCCTGCCTATTCCAGTGGTGTCTCTGGAGAAAGAGCCCTTAATTTTCAATTAATAGATTCAGATTTCTTGGTTTGTTTCTTTTATATCTTCCCAGATTCACTGCCTATTCCATAATGCTCTTAATTATAGATTTAAATTCAGAATCTGTGTATTTAAAAGAAAGAAAAAAAATGTTTAAAAAGCCAAGGAAAGGTGGAATTATTTTAATAAGCATGTGTTGCTTTAGATTCATATATCCGAGCTCCAAATCTCTGAATCAGACTGATTAACTGAAAGGTTTTTATGTCTGGGAAGATGAATAGGACCATTTTGTTGATAGCTGCACAGCAAAGGGCTAACTTCTCATTAGGCAGCGGGTTTTTAGATCTGGAAAATGCTGTCTCATTCCCTGCCCGCTGCCGATGCGCACACGTGCGTGTGCAGCAGCTCCGGGGAAGGGGAGCACAGGGAGAGGAGTGTCGGGAGGGCTCAGAAGCAATTCCTTTCAGTGGTCTGTCCCTCAGGAGAAGGGAATGAGTTCTGGTCAGCTATATTTTTCTTGGTTTGCTCAAAAGCTTTCAGTGGTGTTCAGTGGCAGAGATCAGTCACGAAAGGCTGCTGTACTGGCAGCGCTCTGCTCGCTCTATGTGTGCCTTAAAAATGGCTCGTCCGTCAGCCTTCACGGGATTCATTCCCTGGCAGAGGAAATTACTCATTAACTCTGCAAACGTACATGCAGGGGTTCAAGTCCTAAACTGTTTGCCAAGAGGATGTCAGACAGAACTGCTTGTTTTTGTTCGGGCAAGAAAATGAATGATCAGAGACAGTTTCTCTCTTCTGCGTTTTGAAGTTTTCATAAACAGAGAGGGAGGATTTCTGTTTATATAGAGCAAGGTTTGATCCTGTTGATGTGGATATTATTGTCTGTGCAAAAACTTCCTGAACAAAGGATATTTACCAGCCACAAAAGCAATCTGTCTTTCCTTACCTGTCTTTCAAGCATCATACTCCCCTTCATAGATTATGACCAAATCACACTCCTTTCATCCAGCAAGATGCTTTTGTCAGCTGTTTGTCTCCAGGCTAAGTTCAACGGTAAAGGACAAGGTTAAGGTTTTGTGTGTGGAGTAACTTGCAATTAGGAAAAGACAAGACGGAAGAAGCACAAATTAAGTAGAATCCAGGTTTTATCTGTTGCAGACAACAAGAAAAAGACAGTAGAGGGCAGGGAATCTTGATTTCTGCTCTGCGTTCTTTCCCCTTTTTTTTTGTAATAGGTGGACTTGAGTGAGACTTGTCTTGCCCGTATTCCAGAATTCCTGGCAGGCATTGCACAGGCTTGCCTCCAGATACCAGCCACCAACCCCCAGAGAGAGGTTCAGGCACGTGGGAGGCGGGGAACTGCGCCTTTCAGCGACCCTCCGGAAACTGCGGTGCTATGCAGCAAGAGACTTGATGGACAAGCCTGAACAGCCAGAATTCAGACTTTAAATGAACAACGGTTGGATGGTTTGTCATGGCACAAGTCAAGACAAGGCTTTCTTTTGGTATTACGCAGATCAGGTAAATGCGAGATACGAATTTGTTTACAAAGTGATGTGAACTAAACTCCAGGGAAAAAAATGGGAACTTAGTGTGTAGCTTAACTGGCTTCTGCCCCGTGTCCCAAGGGTGATAACAGAAAAAGACATTGCTGCCAGGTGAGATGGGAACTTGGTTCTCTGAATCACCCACTGAAGGAGCTTCTCTGTAGTGGATTACGTTATCTATTATAGGGGAAAAACTTACCAGGCACAAAGCTGAGATCCTATCAAAATCTTACAGCCAAGGTTGCTTACGTTAACTCCTGTTGTTAAGTTTGCCTGGGGCAGGATTGGCAGCAAATCAGGACTGAATCCTCTGCCTAGAACAGAAATATGGTACCGCACAGTTGCCGTGGGGTGGCAAACATTCAGGAGCTGTTATTGATGCTTGCCCTATATAGATCACCTACAATATTGTCTTGAGTCCAGAGCTTTCCTAAAAAGGTTTCAAGGTAAAACAATGCCTGTGAAAACTGCCTGCTGATTTGGGAGGGATCCAACAGCATTTAAATGCTTGTTGTGAGCTCTTTCTGAAGGTCATCGGGAGAGGAGAAAGCAGGAAAGGAGTATCCCGCATGGGTACTGGCTAATTCAATCTGGTGATGATTCATGTTTCACATCCCAGGATGGCTTGATATTTCATGTATTTGTTACCTTTTATAGCAACACAAAATATGTAGAATTCAATTGTACGAATCACAATGATGGAACAATAGCTTAACAAAATCAAAATACACTTTCCACTCGGCCTTATCAGCCTAGGCATTCTCCTGAAAATACCAGTAAAACCCATAAGCCTGGGAAGCTCCGTGCTATGCTTTAATGGTCTTTGAAAGCCTAGTGAAAAAGTAAATGAGCCCTGTAGCGATTCCCAAAGATGGTAAATTCACTTTTTACCAGATGTAGTAAAAACAAAGACTCCTGCCCTCTGCCTGGTGAAATCAGTGGGAGTCTTGCAACCGGCTCCGAGAGCAGCTAGGTTAAACCACTGGTTGTGTGTCACGGTAGGACGCAGGTGTCTGCAAGTTAAGAATACCCTGGGAGCAGAAATGAACGTGAGCTGTGGTCAATCAGCCACCTAAATGAAATTTTGAAAGATGGTAAGAAAAAGCCTTTTTTCACTCCTTGCTGCAACAGTCTGGAACAGTGAGAGCTCCTATAATAGTTGGTATGTTGCGATGGATGGCCTTCCTCTGAATCTTGCATTCTTTTTAATTAACAGTTGATAAATTTATTAGTCTGTCAGAGATTTGGCTCCTCTAATGTAAATTTGTTCTTCGTTTGTAATTAAGGGGACTTAATTGTGAGGAAAATAATAATAAATGCATATGTTATTTTCCAGTAAAATCTCCGCTCTGAAAACCCAGAGAAATATTGCCAGTTCTGCACTGAGAACTGTGTTTGTGTACATGTCTGCGTGTATGCACAGACATGCCGTTTTTTATTGACCCTCTTCTCTGTAGTCATTCCCCAGGGGACGCTTCCAGGCTGGTAACTTGCGGCAGCAGTGGCTTAACAACCGCTACACTTCATGACGTTATGGTGCGCTACCTTCCTGTAACACAGTTAAACCTCTGAATTTCTTATTCTGTTTGCCTGGTAAGGAAACGCCAGTGCTGGTCAGGGTTTGTGCTCAGAGGCAGATGCTCCGTAGCTCCCGTAGTTTCAAATATGGCACTATTTTAAAAATATAAATGAATTCTCACCTTGTTGCATCAGCAGGTGCTTGCACTGAATATCAGTGTGCTAGCGGGACAGTAGCTGGTTTGGGCCACTCAGCATCCACTTCAGAAAACCATTTAGCTGGAGATACCCAGCTGTGATTAATGATAATCACAGGTTTTGGTATATTTTCCAAGCAAGGCCTTGGGGCTGGATGGGTCCTCTGTGCCGACGGTGAGATTTCCCCAGTCAGCTCTCCGCTGGGTGATTTGCTCTCCCCACTGTGCTCTGCAGCACAGACCTCCAACGGGAGCCATGGCATCAGTGCAAGACGTCGGCTCGCCCGGCAGTGGCGGAGCGGAGGTCTGTCTGCAGCAACTTGGAGCAACAAATAGGAAACAGGATTTCCCCCAACAGGCATTGGATTTTTCAGAAATGAACCGTTGTAACGGGATGTGCAGCCGAGTAAAGCCCGTGATTTACACTAAATGCCTTCAGACTTGGCGAATGTGGCAAGTGGGACTTCCAGCTCCCTTCACTCGAGCACCAAGCTCTAGCTGGTTCCCTTTTTCGCTCGGTATTTACCAGAAATAATGTTCTTGTTACTGTTTTGTGCAGGGTGGGTTCTGGTAACTGCCAGGCCAAGAAACCTGACGCTGTTTGCTGCAGACCAGCTTTGCGTGCTCTCCACCCCCTGGGAACCCAGGAGGGCTTGTGCTTGCTTCCTGCTGCAGCCTCGGGGAGATGCCCTTTCAGGAACTCAGCTCTTCAGATAAAAGGTCTCCCTCTTCACATGAGAGCATCCTTGAGTGAGAGCATCGCAGCATATTTTAAAAGCTCTATCTGTCTGGAAATTTTCCAGGCAGTCCCTTACCTACCGATGTCATCCTCCTCCTCTCCCCCTCCCTTCTTTCATCTTCCCAAGCAGATCCGTATCATTAATATTTCAGTGTGAGCTGCTCGCAGGCATTGGCTACGCTGCAGCGCAGTTCATCAATAAGAGACGGCGAAGGCTGCGAGTTTGCCACTCTGCCTTCATCCAGCCGAGGAGTCGGAGCAAAGGCAGAGTCTGGCAGAGAAAACCAAGTGTTGCCAGAGCTGAGTCTGCATCTTGCAGTCCCGGTCTTGAGGTGCTTTTTCCCGCTGTCCCTCGCTCAGATCGCCCAGGCATTCCCTTAGCAAGCAGCGAGGATGGATGTCTTTAAGAAAGGTTTCTCCATTGCTAAGGAAGGTGTGGTGGCTGCTGCAGAGAAGACCAAGCAGGGAGTGACGGAGGCTGCGGAGAAGACCAAAGAAGGGGTGATGTATGTAGGTAAGAGAGGACTCCTTTTAATACACATTTGAGCATGAGTGGCCGCGTAGATTGTCTCTGAGAAAATGGTATTTTGGCTAAAGCTTGGGAGTGAACAGCAGGAGGTCGGGATGGCACCCTCAGCTCTGTCACAGAGTCACTGTGTAAGCCTGGGGTGTCACACGTCCCCATGCCTCAGTTTCCCCAACTGTAAGTTAGACCTGGAAATGGCCACGACTTCAAGAGAGGCAGAGCGAATGCAGCGTTAGGGAGCAGATGCCCGGGTGGGAGGTTTCTGCTGTGACCATTCACTGACCGCTGGCAGGGTGAGTCGCTGCCTCCCCGAGCATCTGAGTGCTGCTGCTCTCCCCCTCGCCTCCACGCTGCAAGAGACACGCTGAGGAGGGCCCAGAGAGGAGCCAGCAGCATTATTAAGTGGGGATTGCAGGATGCATGTTTCCCCACCAACATACCATTTTATCCTGAAATCTCTGTGCACCGACCTGTTTCGTTCCCCATGCACGCATTAATCTTGCTTTCCAAGAGATGCCCAAATTCAGTTTGCCTGAAGGACGGGATCTGGAAAGCTCCCATCTGATGTCCTGCCTGGAGACCTCTCTCACAGCTAGCACGCTGTTTCAGAAACCTCTCTTTCCAAGGTCACCCTCGAAACCCGCTGTCTCCGCTACCTAGCGCGTGCAATTACGTGGCTGGATGGTCAGATACTGTAGAATCTAGGAAGTCTTAGGTTCCCCAGACTGATCACCTCGCTGCTGATTACTGCACCTCACGCAGCTTTTTATGCTCACTAGGTGAGGGAGAGAGGAGGTTTTTTAGCAGGAAAGTTTACATGCAGGCTCTTCCTGCTATCCTGCTGCAGCATCCACAGCTCTACGTAGCTACTGTATTTAAATATCTTTATTGACAACAGCTACAGGTAGATAATGGTATGTTACAAATGAAGTACGCATTTTATGTGTAGCAGATCTGGTAATAATCTTCATCACAAAATTTAACTACTCAACTCTTGGCATGCTGAAAATGAACATGTGTAACAGTTCACGTTTCAGTTCAAAGCCGACTCGCAGGATGAAAAGGTAAACAGCATCCCTGTAAGCAAAGCAGCTAACCATAGAAAGGTCACATCTAGGTGTCAGATGGTGGCATGGCTACTGCTCCAGCTGCCTCCTGATTTTAGGTGGTGGCAGAAAGGGTTATTCCAAATTGTTATGCACAGTTCCTCACATGTCTGTTCACTCATGTTGTATGTCTCCCTACTGTGACCTGTTCTCATTTTTGCACAGCCGTGAGGTACAGAGTCTGCTCATGAGATTCTAACCTTTTCAGTAAAGTTTTCTAAAAGCCTTCTTAAAACCTTAATCTCTGAATGAGGATCAAATAAGGGTCAAGGTGAAGATTAAGAGCTTTCACCTTTCTTTTTTTCGGTTTGGTTTGTTGGTGTACCACCAGTTCCTGCCCTGTCATGCAGGGTAGTGCTTTGCCTTGGGGCCGATTCAGTTCCTGTTGCACGCTGTGGGGTGCTCAGCCCTTTGGGGAAAATTCAGTCTTCCATAGGCAGGAAAAGTAAAGGCCAGAAGTTGATTAGCTGAGGAAATTGATTTTTAAAGAAGCAGAGAAGGTGGAGGCCAGATGTATAGGTAGATACTGGAGAGATTAGTATGTTATTTGTGCTGCATTTTCTCACTCTGTTGCTTGAAGGGTTAATCAGAGACCGGAACTGTTCCTTCCCTGCTCCTTCCTTTGCAGAGCCCTACCCCAGCAGCTTGGTCTAGAGTGTTGCATGACGCAACCTGAATTTTTGGATGTGAGGAGAGAATAATACTTGTATAAAAGCTTGAGGGTCTTTTCAGAACATTGGGAAAGGGAGGAAAAACCCCACATCCTAGGGTGGATGAAGTGGATCCCTGACTTTGGTTCAGGTTTGTGTTAACTCATTGCTGACCCTCCAAGGAGGATTCCAGATGTCTGGGCAAAACCACAACATCTGGTGAGTCACTTGCTGCTGCCCCCGGAGAAAAAGAATAATGCTCTATCAGAGACACCCGCCTGGAGCAAACAGCGTCATCGGGGTACTGCGGCCGTCTCGTCCCTCCACTCTGAGCCGCGCCGGTTGTGTTCCCACAACCCCTGCCAGAGCCGGCGATGCCTCCCTCCTGAGCTGACACTGCAGTGCAGTGCACGGCTGGGCTGGTTAGAGGGGCTGAGCATGAGCGACTCCAGCACGAACTCCTGCGGGACTTGCAGCACATCACACTGTCCTTTCCTCCCACACGCCTTGTCCCGCTGCGCGGCGCTCCGCCGCCCTGCTCGCACCCTTGCGATACCAAAGCTCTTGCAGGTGACTCACAGCACTCGGAAGAGGCAGGATGTGTGAACTTTTAATTCTGTGTACACAAGCTGCAGGCAAGGACTAATGAGTGAAATGAGATTGAGCATCAGGTGACTGGTTTCTGTTTCAACAGATGCGGGTTGCTGGCAAGGGCACGTGCCAGGAGGCCAGATTCCATGTGGTGCAGAATGGATGCTGAGCCTGAGTCACTGGGTGTGGTCAGGAGATGGGGTGAGGAAGAGAAGGCACGCTGTCCCCCGGCTGCAGGGGTGGCGCTTCCCAGTGCCACTGCTTCTGTCGTGAAACAGATTTGGGTGGTTTTCTTCTACCTGCATCCCTCTCTTCTGGAGTTATTTTCCATCAGAAAATATGGCACCCACCCACTCCCCTCGCCCTGCAAAAGCCCAGGTGGTCACCTTAAATCAAAAGTCAGGTAATACAAAGTACAGCTCAGTCTCACTAAGCATGTTTACTGCAAAAACTGAAACATATGCAAGGCTAGTTATGGCAAATGAGGCACTTTGCTTACCTCACAACTGCTGTTAGACCAAAACACAGCAGAGAAGGGCTAAGCTTGAACGCCTCTGTCTGATGTGAGAAGATCTTGTATGTCAGATCAATACTGTGGCAGCCTGTTGTTGGCACGGCACTGGGAGGGGAACCGGAGCAGGATGGCGTCGGAGTTGAACTGCGTGCATTTGGCCCGTTCAGGAGCTCCGGGGTGCGGGAGACCCGCGTCTGCTCTGCTCACTGCTCTGTACGTGTCTGTATGTCGCGGGCATCGTTATCAGATCCAGCCTACGGCAGTGCCCTGCTATCGTGTGCAGCATGAGGAACCGCAGCTTGCTGCAGTGACGAGGATAAAGTACAAAGATTTCATCCCTTCGGTTCTAACGCGGTGCGGGAGGGTGGAGTGAAATGCTGAGGGCGTGCTGTAGTGCAACAGCTTTGTTCTGCCCCAGGCACCCATTGCAGCCGCCAAAATAAATCAGCAGTTGAGACTTGCGTTCGATAACACGTAGCATGTACCGGGCAGAACAGAGCTGGGCTGGGTCTGTTGTTATCAGGGCGCTGCACCTGTTTTGCTTTTCAGGCTGTTAAGTGAGATGGAGATGTGGTTTGTAGCTGATTTCACCCACCACACCCATGGATGCTCCAGTACCTCTGGAGTTAAGGATCTGTCTGACTGTATCATTTTGACAGTTGAACATGAAAATTCTTTTGTTGTGTCAGTATGGAAAAGTTGAAAAGAGCCTGTAAAGGTGCAGGTGATTTACAGAATACAGTAAGGTGGGACCAGTGGAACATTTTGTCATCTGTTTATCTTCCAACAGAGGTAAATTTGATCCTTTATTTTTGTAATGTGAAAAAACATGTAGTTACTGCGGGGGCCGCCCCTCTACCATATGATATAACGAACCTGCTGCAGTATACAAATAGAACTGATGTATAGCAGGTCACTTCAAGCTTGGAGGAAAACCACAGAGATGAATTATTCCTTAAAGGGGGCTACTTGCGTTGCAGGCGGAATACCCTCACATCCTGTTAGCTTTTCTGCCCCGAGAACAGCAAGAGAAATTACATTGTAAGCATACGTATGGTGTACTTCCATAATTTGAGATAATCTGCATTCTGTGTGTCGCTGCGAGCAGGCACTTACAGCCTAGGCTGGGCCATGGAACTGGGAATCTATTAAGTAGTTATCTAGTAGGTGAGTGGTGGTTCTATACCTTCAGCCTTCAGAGTCTGTATTAGAGGTACAGACTTTCTCCAGAGTCTTTATTAGAGGTATAGAATGGAGCTTTATATGACCACTGCAGCCAAGTCTCCT